AGCGGAGCTTGGTAAAGCCGAGGTGAGAAATAGTAGATGAAGGAAGGGAGATGGTAAAGCGAGCGTTGAGAATAGTTAGATGAAGGAAGCGGAGCTGGGGTTAAAAGCGAGCGTGAGAAATAGTGGAATGAAGCAAGGGAGCTGGTAAAGCGAGGTGGAGAATCAGAAGAAATAGTAGATGGAGGACGGGAGCTGGTTAAAGCGAGGTGAGAAATAGTAAGAGGAAGGACAGGGCAGCTGGGTAACTGAGCGTGAGAATAGTAGATGAAGGAAGGGAGCTGGGGTAAAGCGAGTGTGCAGAAATAAGTATGAGCAGAAGGAGGGAGCTGGTAAAGCCGACGCGTGAGAAAATAGTAGATGAAGGAAGGGGAGCTGGTTAAAGCGTAGGTGAGACAGAAATTAGGAGATTGAAGGAAGGCGAGCTGGTAAAGCGAGGTGAGAAATAGATAGTATGAAGCGAAGGGAGGCTGGTTAAAAGCGAGGATGAGAAGATAGTAAGAGGAAGGAATGGGAGCTGGTAAAGCGAGGTGAGAAATAAGTAGATGAAGGAATGGGACTGGCCTAAAGCGAGGCTGAGAATAGTAAGATGAAGGAAGGGGCCTGGGTAAAGCGAATTTTGAGAAATAGTAGAGGAAGGAAGGAGAGCTGGTAAAGCGAGAGTGAGACAATAGTAGAGCGAAGGAAGGGTCGCTCGGTAAAGCGAGGTGAGAAATAGTAGATGAAGGAAGGGAGTGGTAAAAGCGAGTGAGAAAATAGTTAGTGATGAAGGAAGGAGCGGGTTAAAGCGGGTGAGAAATAGTAAGAAGGAGGGAGCCTGGTTAAAGCGACGGTGAGAAATAGTAGATGAAGGAAGGGAGCTGGTAAAAGCGAGGTAGAAATAGTAGATGAAGGAAGGGAGCTGGTAAAGCGAGGTGAGAAATAGTAGATGAAAAGCGGGTAGCTGGTATAAGCGAGGGGTGGGAAATAGTAGTATGAAGGAAGGAGAGCTTGGTAAAGCTGAGGTGAGAAATAGTAGATGAGGAAGGAGCTGGTAAAGCAATGGTGAGAAATAGGATATGAAGGATGGGAGCTTGGTTTTTAAAGTTTTTATGTTTATTTTTTTGCTTAATTTTTTTTTTTTTTTGGGTTTGTTGTTAAATACGTTTTTTTTTTTTGGTTTTTTTTTATTTTTTATGTTTTGATAATTGTGTTTTTTTAAAAAGTTTGGTTTTCTTAAACATTTTGTATATTTTTTTTGATTTATTTTTTAAAGCGAGGTGAGAAATAGTAGATGAAGGAAGGGAGCTGGTAAAGCGAGGTGAGAAATAGTAGATGAAGGAAGGGAGCTGGTAAAGCGAGGTGAGAAATAGTAGATGAAGGAAGGGAGCTGCCCGTAAACGACAAGGCCGGGCCCTGAGAAATAGTGAGATGATATGGACGGGCAGCTGGTTAAAGCGAGGGTGAGAAATAGTATGATGAAGAAGGGAGCTGGTAAAAAGACGAAGGTGAGAATAGTTAGATGAAGGAAAGGGCAGCTGCGTTAAAGCGAGTCGTGGAAGATAGTAGATTGTAATGCGAAGGGAGCTGGTAAAGCCGAGGTGAGAAATAGTAGATGAAGAAGGGACGGTAAAGCGAGGTGAGAAATAGTAGAGGAAGGAAGGGAGCTGGTAAAGCGAGGTGAGAAATAGTAGATGGAGGACGGGAGCTGGTAAAGCGAGGTGAGAAATAGTAGAGGAAGGAAGGGAGCTGGTAAAGCGAGGTGAGAAATAGTAGATGAAGGAAGGGAGCTGGTAAAGCGAGGTGAGAAATAGTAGATGAAGGAAGGGAGCTGGTAAAGCGAGGTGAGAGAAATAGATAGATGAAGGAAGGCGAGCTGTAAAAGCGAGGTTCGAGAAATAGTAGCATGACAGGAGGGAGCTGGGGTAAAGCGAGGTGAGAATAGTAGAGGAAGGAAAGCGGAGCTGGTAAGCGACCGTACTCGCCGCGTGAGAAATATGTAGATGAAGGAAGGGAGCCTGGTTAAAGCGAGGTGGAAATAGTAGATGAAGGAAGGGAGCTGGTAAAGCTGGAGGTTGAAGAAATTAGTAGCGCAGGAAGGAAGGGAGCTGGTTATAAGCGAGGGTGAGAAATAGTAGTTTGAGTTTTGGCACGCGAATTGCCGCAATTGGGCGAATTGCCGAATTAGAACATGCTTCTATTCTCCCAACTAGCTGCTATCGGATCGGTTTGGACATGCCCAAACTTTGCGTTTACACTGCCGCTATTGTCAGTTTCGATGTGCGAAGTTGGTACAATTCGGCAATTCGCCAACACAAAGTTGGCAGTGTAAACCCAGCTTAAGCTGCCGAGTTGCACCTTCGGTTTACAAATTAAAAGACGTTCAATAGCGTGTGGTGATAACAGCAAGCAACTGCAAATCTATGTCATAGATGCACACACATATTTACATATATATATATATATATATATATATATATATATAGTATTATATCAGAGGTGAATGTATTTACAGTTTCATATACATCCTTTTTAAGTGTATAAAAAACGGGTTTTCCTTAAAAAATGAGATTGCTTCATTTGCTGTTTGCAATGCAGTGTTATATATCACTTATCTATTGGTAAAAGGCAATATCTATACTATACGATTTAGTGTTGTGGTATATCGTTTTCTTGGATTATTCTATATAGTGAAATGAGATATTTCAGCGTGAAACATATGTTGAACATTATTAAATGCTTACTGACGTAAGTTTGCTGTAGCCGTGTAACTTGTCTTCCCCTCAGAGAAGAGGAAAAGGCAACGAGCAGAAGATAGCGCCAGCAGACGCCGAGAGTGGCAGGATAGGTTCGGACAAACGCGCTCCGATTCACAGCGTAGTGGCAACAGGCTCGCAGACAGTGCAATACCACCCGGTAAGCATCGACAAACATATCAAATGAAGTCGCCTAATAAAGCCAGAGATGATACTCGTCTCTCACTGTGTGTTCTTTGGAAATTAGATGCACAGATATCTTTTGTGGTAGTTACAAGCATTGTTTATTTGCAACTGTTCTCATCGTGGGCCTGTGGCAGACAAGGTAGCACACCCGTAGAGATAAGTGTCTGTGTGCTATGCATATGGTTTGTTTTACACGTAATTATTATACATTATTATTATTGTTATTATTATTATTATGATATATATATATTTTTATAGTATATAATATATAAATATATATATATATATATATATATTATTTATTGGTTTATCGTATTGCTGTATGCTTCGCATGCTATGTTCGTGGTGCATGTTGTGTGATAAAGCGTGTCTTATTGCTGTATGCTTCGCGTGCTATGTTCGTCACTGTGTGTGTCGTCACTGCCGTGACTGTGCTGCAGGGACCGTCGCTGTGGGGATCACTCCCAGCTCCAGCTCCGAGAACGACCACACGCAGCTGCTGAAGGACGTCGCTCCCATCGACTACACGGGCCAGAACGCCGAAATCTACGACGACTTCAACCGCCCGCGACCCTCCGCCTCGACCTCCTCCGTCAACGCGGACCCGCTGTCGGCCTCCTACCAGACGCACCGAGGCCAGACTACTCCCACGTCCAGCGGGCGCCCCGTCCGGGGGATATTCGACGACATATAGCTGCGATGATGGTGTTGGCGTGTCCGCGTGGCATGTTCGAAAAGCAACTCGCAGTTAATCGCAGCTGCGGTAGAGGGATCTAAAAGACAGTGCTTAGCGACGAAGTGACGCAGATTTTGCGTGCATGCGTGAAAAGTGTGTAAGCTGATCTTTTTGCTTTCATAGACGGATAGATCAGTTACGCGTCGCCTAAAGTTTTGAAGGAAGCACAAAATTTGCTAAAGATAATGAAATTTTATTGTTTTTTGTTTGTGGGAAGGCTTGAATGCTAAGGATTGACATCCAAAAGCTACTATAAAATATAGTAATATATCTCCATATGTGTTGCCGCACACGCCCAGACGTGCGCATATGTATTTATGTAATATTTATGAATAATATGTATATATTTGTTAATTGAATGAATTGTGAAGAACATATGGTGTGGATGCGCATGAGAATTATAACTGGGAAATCATTGATGTCAGGGGAGGAAGTTGTTGGGAGATACGTGATATTTATTAGTCTTGTAAAGTAGACAGCCGAGTAATGTCTATAGTGACTTATATTTGTGAGTTATCTTATATGTGGCGTGTCATTCATAGATCATAGGTTGCGAGCAGCATGCCTTGGAAGGCAGTGCATGACACTGTCTGTAGCTGGGCTAAAAACATGGAAGCTAAACTAGGTGGGTATAGTAATGAAATGTAACACAGAATGGATGACCTTGAGCAAAACCTTGTAAATTAGTATACCAGCCACATTCAAGTGTGTTGTAGACTTTTGGTTAGAGATTGCAGAGAACCATAGTTTGATTACCATTATTTCGTTTAAATTATAATTAGCATTGCACTTAATTCGACGATACATCCGTTGTCTTTATCATAATTCGATAAAGTTTCAAACATTTCCCATATTTTCTGCACAATCAAGTATTGATGCCAAATGTTATCATGTTAGTTAACTGCAGCAACACGTATTTACTCGTTGCTATGTGTATAGTCAGTTCTGTGCATAAAACCTTACTCAAATTAAACATGAACCATAGTTGTCAGATTCGTATATTGCTACATCATATTAGATATTTAGAAGGGTGGAGATGTTTCCAAGCACAAAATATAAAGTGCAACAACTTGGGGTGGACAAGTTGTGTAGAAGTTTTTTTTTGGCTGCATTCATTAAAGAAACTGAATCTGGTATTTACAGGTGCTGCCATTATGTCTAATTTTAAGCTGATCACACGTGCTGAAGCTTTTGTTCCGTGTGTGTATGCCTTGTTAATGATAGGGTTAAAACGACCTGCGCATGCCCTTCAATTATTGCTGGGTGTGGTTATGGGTGCAACAGAGTGCCTGCGGGCACCAGATCTTGTTGCTGTAATCTATCAACAACGTGTTTCTGTATATTAGCCTAGAAACGTTAGGTGGTATTGTTACTTGTTAGCTGGACATGTTATCTAGGTTGTAGTAGTTCTCATTGTGTCTTTCAGTAATTGCTTTCCTGGTATACTTATTTGTATGCTTGTCTGTTAGTGTACCAGCTGTCAGGCAGTTGGCAGTCTATATATGCTTTGCTTCTATAGTAACATCAAGAGCATATTAAGTATGTACATACGTATTAAGTATGTATGTAGTATAAGTACATACCTAATATGCTCTTGGTAACATATAGCAACACAAGTAAAACATGTGAAAGTTATCGCAAGTGTTGTTTCGGCGTGCATTAGAGTGTTCAGTCGCCTTCAAGTTGTGTTTGTACCCTAAAAAGTTGTTGTGCGGCTTGTAATGATCAAAAACGAGAATATGCATTTAAGGGTGAACCGCTACAGTTTGGTTTAGATCAGGGGTTCTTAACCTGTGGTCCATGGACCCCTTTGGGTCTCCGTTGATGGGCTTCAGGGAGTCCGTGAACCCCAGTGTATGCGAATTTCTGTGTTTATGTGCTTATTGTATCCCCGGAACGAGTTCGGGGGGATACTATGGATTTGCCCTCGTCGCGCCGCCGCAGAGATTTCCTTGTGAGCGCTCTACCGGCTGCAGTTCTTCTCGGATCATCTTCAAATTTCGCATGAAAGTGCGTTATCGTAAAGCGAAGACGCCAATCGTTTTTGGTGAGGGCGGAGTCATCGTTGCCATGGTAACAACATTTTTTGTCGAAATATTCTAGAACCTGTAACTTCTGGCAAGCCTCTTAAACCCGAATCATAAATTTGGCAGCACAGACCAATTATTATACATATATACTAGATATATGATCAGTAGGGACTCTTTATACTCGGCCCTGTGTGCACTATTCCATGACAATCGGGTAAAAACAGCAAGTTACAGGCTTCTATGCAATATTCGCAACCAAAAGTTGTTACCGATGCAACGATTGACTCCGCCGCACACAAAACGATTGGCGTCTTCGCGCTAAACCATTTTAACGCACCTTCAATGGCCAAATTTGAAGATGATCCGCAGATTGGGTAAAACTGCACAAAGCAAAGGAAAAATGAAATTATTAATGAAATAGCCTGCACCTTTCATGCAAATGCATATTTAGATGCAAAAGCATTGCAATATGGATAACTAGTTCGCAACAATATTTCCTTGTCTGTCGCCCAGTGTAATGGCAGGCATATATCTATGTATCTATAGTATATACGCATATTACCCGCGTCCTCAGATGGCTTTGCACCCCCCCCCCCCACCCACCCAACGCACTACACATAAAGGCAGCACACGTCACACACCAGACACACAAACCACACGCACAACACACACGCATACATACTGACTGAGGGATGACATTTCGCCCGCGGCCATGCGCGAGAAGGTGTGACAGTACCAAAACCAGGTCACTGTGATTCAATTTCACCTTTACCTTGACCTTGATCATATTTCCCTTCCGCTCTGTAACTCTCGGCCCTTAATTCACTGCAGCGACATACACTTGGTATTATTACAGGCGCCGGTAGTCAGCTTGTATTGCAGGGGTTCGTTTTTCAATGTTGCGCAATTTTGCTCCGGCCAGGGGCGTGTACAGCGATTTGTACAGGGGGGTGGTCTTACAGTAACCGCGAAGTTGCGAAGCACGCGAAGGGGGTTCGGGGCCCTCCCCAGAACATTTTTCAAATAACACCCCTCAGATGCGTTTTCTGCACGGCAAGTGGAGTCCGGACTCCTGGAAACCCCCTTGTTACACGCCCACTGCCAGGCGCGAAGCGACCAGGCGAGGCGAGCAAAGCGATCGAGCGGGGGAAGGGTGCGGGAGGGGGTGTTCACTGGTTCACGCTCACGCATCGATGATGATTTTGCAATTTTACAACCTAAAATAGAGCGACCTTGAGGTGAAAACTTCTTTGCAGACATGTTGCGTTCGAACCCCAACCGCCCCCTGATACGGCTGACTTACACATCTTGGGAGAGGTGTGACAGAGTACGCAAAACCAAGGTCACTGCGACCTTTATTTCACCTGTTTAGCTTGACCTTGACTCATATTTCCACTTCCGCTCTCTAATCAGCCACTAATTGAACGTAGCGTGAGCCAAAACATTGGTATGCCTTACACATCTTGGGGCAGAAGAGCTGTCGCCATACCGCAAAACCACCAACTGCCCTTGAGCTGCGTCGACTTACATTTCCTCTTCGGCCTGCCATAGGCTAACCAGATTCCATATACTGGTACTTGGCACATCTGAGGCAGACCAGTTGTCTAACAAACCTTTGTCTTTGTGACTTATTTAACTTTACCTGCCGTCTACGTCCTTACAGAGATATTCCATCAAGAGTACATAATAGAGAGTTATGTTATCTCTATTATGTACTCTTGATTCCATTCATACTAGATCATGGGGGATACATGTAGTTGGCGACAACTGCTCGTTTCTAGTTCTGGATTATTCTTGCATTTTCTGGGTAGGGGTCTGTATAGCTTTCACCATATTCTCAAAGGGGTCCATGACTCAAAAAAGGTTAAGAACCACTGGTCTAGATGAATCATATGTAGGGTCTAGTCATATTCATGTACCACAAGTTCGCAATATCACGTGGTTGTCTTATAGACTGGTTCAATTTTCCAAAATTTTTATTTCATGAGGCATTTTTGAGGAAAAGCAAACAAATGGTGTTTCTGGAGCGGGATTTTCGCTGCTGATATGCAAAAAATTAAGGTCAAAGGTTAATTAGTGCTAAAATCTTATTTTTTTACTCTTTCCTTATACTAAAACGTATATCAATGAATAAATATTCAAATTAAATGGAAAATCGTGAAAGCATTCTTGAACAAATTGTTTGTGTTTCTCAATTCTGCGCTGATTAAGTTAACTCGATTAATAAGGACAAAGCGAGTCAATTAGTGCCAAAAATTCAAAAACATGTTTTATTCATCAGCCTTAATATAATATCAAAGTCATTTTTATATTTTCAGCCATTAGCTCTAGACAACATCATGCAAATATTCAAAATAAACTGGAAAACATGAAAGGAAACATTCACTTCTATACTATTCTCTACTATTATGTACAATCACTATTCTATAAACTATGGAACGAATATCTCCGCTAACGGTTTGAACTTTCTCTATGTGGGTTGTTTTCAGATGTTGTGGTCAGATTTTTCAACATCTTGTCTGCTTCATTACAATGGTCAGGGGGATCAGGAATAATTGACTATTTGTTTTTAGAGATTTCTGGTAATTAGCCGATAATTAAGGTCAAGGTTTAATTAGTGCAAAATACGAATTTTATGAAATTGGCTTTTTGCTCTTACTTGAAGGCCGATGGCGTTATTTGGTTTTATTTTTGCATGTTACAGTTTCATTCTCATTGCATTTGCATGCATCTGTGCACTGCAAGTTCCATCTTTTGCATGGGCACCTGTTGCTGATGCAAACCTTAGTGTAGCCACACTCCACAATGTCCTTGCATGCCTTTGGAATGGGGGGCAAGGTTGTGAGGACGGGGGGTAAGAATGCCATCAGCCAGCCTCCATCCAGAGTCCGTTGGGGGAGGGGATGATTGGTTTGGGGTTGCAGGCTTCTCTCCATATAAGGCTTTGGTAGTTCGCACGCTGTATATGATACTGGGCAGCATCACTTGAAGGCGGCATTGACTCTGGCGCATGACATTTACTAAAGAGCTTCACACGGGCCTGGTCACAGCTCTGTGATGAGGACTTGTACATTCGACAAGCAAATTTCTCGGCATCATCAGAAACTTCCCTTGACACAGTCAGACTTTCCAAGATCCCTCAGAAGATGGTGGTGTTCTACGAATACATCCCATGCTGACTTCTTGGAATGCCCAGATAAGTATGATACCGTATCACACCCTGTGATGGCATGGAATGCTGGAATGGTTTCATATACTTGGTCCCCAAGGCTTAGCTGTTTTCTGATGTCATGAACTGGAACATACTTCGGTTTCTTTGAAGTACCAGCCTTGAGCCGTAACTGCAAACAAGTCATTTTGTTGAAGTGTGCCAGAAGTAGGATGAGCATGTCTGTATCACGAGCGGTCACCACTATGGTTTGTGCATTGCTGTGAATACAATGAAGTACAATTCGTGTATCCGCCTCCTCGTGGTTGCCTTCTAACAAATCCATATTCATGCAGTGATCAGTACTTTGCACCTCGGTCTCGGAAATGAAGCCTCCACCCACAATGATGGTCTTCTCACTTGGAGCTGCAGCTATAAGGGCATTAGACATAAACAAACAGAGGTCCTTTTTATTGTCGGTGGATGCTAGAAAGTCTATTTGCTTGGAAGGGGTACATCTTGGTCTTCAATGGGTCGTCGAATTGGCTTGGTCCTTCTTGTACGCCTTTCTCTTGTGCTAGCTTTGATTGAGAGGTCCCTGTATCGATCGAAGGTCACATCGATTCTATCATACGCTTTACCCTGCTTGAGAATGTGTTTGACAAACATGCCTGCGTATTCGCCGAAGATACTCACATTGCTTGGCTTTCCAAAAGACATGATTGTGGCTTGTCCATCTATTATAAGACATGCAGACCAACTGATGGTGATTTCTGGAGGGGAGGTCACATCTTTAGCCAACACATCAAACAGAATACATTTGGTACCCGTCCGTAGTGTGCCAGATGTATCAGCAATGCTCACCGGTACTTTCATCAGCTCATGGTTCAAGATATTGCTTAGGTCAACTGGTCTGCCAGCCCTATATGCCGTGAGAAGTCTCTCTGAGAGTGTCTCTGTGAGAAGTTCCTGTCAGCTTTCAACGTGTCCATCTTCCTTTTCAAACTATCTTTCACCATGCGCACTTCATACAAGGATGCAAAAGTAGGAGCTTGTGCTTTTGGCATTGTATCGTTGAAATTAACCTTTTCATCGACTAACCTCTCCTTCACGAACGTCTCCAGCTGTGTCTGTCCCAGTTGTGTTGCATTCAGCAGTGGGTTCTCTATTTTAGCCGTAGCCACGTCTTTGGTGGCAATATTCAGGAGGTTATTTGTCCTATCTGTTGGTTCTTCTACCATTACCTTGAATCTCTTCAATACATTGAACATGCTTGCTTCATCTTTGTCGCCATTCGAGACGGGGTTGCTTTCATTGGTGTCCATTCAGTGTCCAAACCAACGTTCATCATTTCGTACGTTTGGCCCGACACATTTGATCTTTGATTGAAGGATAATGTCCATCTTGCAAGGGCCGTGTTGGTCTTGGTGATTCCGACAATTCTACCACTTTTCTTCCCAATG